GTCTAAAACGGGACCATTTCATTTATTAATAATTTTTAGCTAAGGGAACGCCTTTAAAAATCACCAGTATTTCAAAATCCAAATATCGCATTTTATACCAAATTTTCAATCATCATTTTCCAATGCGATTGCTTGTTAATGAAATTGAGGGGAAAATTACTGAATTTCTGAATGCGCTCTTCAGTATTCAGTCATAGGAAGCCATTTAAAGTTGAGAGAGAATCAATGGCCACAAACCGCGCACGAGTGAGCTGAATGAAATTTTATTTAAATAACATTTCGGCATCGTTAAGAAGGAGTCTATCCTTAACAGTAAGCCAGTTAAAGGATCTTATGTCTTCTGAGATGCGGTCATATTTCCTAATACCTAACACGATACGCGCAGAAAAATTCTGCACTAGTTGGAGTTTCTTTGCGTTGCCTCATACAGTTGAACAATATAATAGTCTGCTAAAAACGAAAATGTTCATCAACAATATAAGAGAATTTCTGTCCAGAAGCTGTTTTATCCTGCTAATCTGCATTAGCTTGAGTTTATATAGACAATTAGAGGTAGTTTTTGCAACATGATCGTTGTAAGTTAAGGATTGATCGATGAAGACACCAAGGTCCTTTGCCACAGGAACTGGTGTTATATCCTTTCCTAAAAGGGAGAGAGTCAGTTGAGGGAATTTACGCAGTAACTGCGGCACTCCCACACTCCCACAAGTAACATTCTGTTTTTCTCCGGATTAAGTGGTTGAGAATTTTGGCAGCACCATCTGCAGATTTCTCTCAGGTCTTCATTCAAAAGGCGGAATACGCAGTTTATTTCAGCTGAGCGAAAAGAAAGGTATAGTTTACTATCGTCAACGTAACATGCAGACTTACAATGGGCTGGAACAGCTAGGAGATTTCAAGTGTTAAAATTTCCCAGAAATATTTTTCAATAAAATATCTTTTTATAATCACAGAACTTTCAGAATTTTATAACGAAACGGTACGTGAATTGTTTGGCCCAAAAGCCGAGTAGACAATTATTCCATTGATAGTCAGTCGCTTTCACTTTTTTTCGATTTTACTAGCTTTTTGAGACACGCTTTTGCTTCGAGATATTTCTTGGCCATTTTGCCTTGCTTTTCTTTTTGATAGCGTTTATTATCAGGTAAAATTTGCATATTGACTT